CCCTAAAGCCTATATCTTAAAATTCTAAACCCTAAAAAATGTTTTGACCCCTAAACCCCTATAAACCTTCATAACTAAACCCTAATAGAACATAGTTAACCCAAACATAAATAATATAAAGAATTTTTTTTTTTGAAAAAGTTGCATTTTTGTAAAGATTTCAAAAGTGTGGTATTTTTGTAAAGTGACATTTGAAAAATATAATTTTTTGAAATTTCTCAAAACGAAGTTATTGGTACTTATAGCATGTACATTGAGGAGCTCTCAATTGAGTTCTCAAACAATTATAAAATATTAATACTAATAAAATATATTTAAGATTTAAAAAATTAATGATAAAATAAGATGAACTGATGAACTTCATCTAATAGTTCCAAATTGAGAACATATTCTCAAAATTTGAGAACTTCATCAGTTCATCTTATTTTATCATTAATTTTTTAAATCTTAAACATATTTTATCAGTATTAATATTTTATAATTGTTTGAGAACTTAGTTGAGATCTCTTCAATGTTCTCTATTGCTTTATAAATACAAATTATGCATTTTTAACCAATATATAAAAGGGAAAATTGGCTAATTGGGTCAAATTTGATTTGAATTTGTCCTACTACCTCTTTCTCTATTTTTACCTAATTTTCCCTTTTGACATTTCTAATAAATTATTAAAATAGTTTTAATAGCAAAAAAAATTAGAAAAATTCAAAATAATAAAAAAGTCACTGGGAAGAATATAAGTATATTTTTTTATTTTAAAAATATGATTAGAATTGAAAATAATTTTCTATTCTACATTTTCCAGAAATCAAATTCTACCGTCTACGAGGTAGTAGAATATATATTCTACAAATTGGTCTAAATCTACTGTATTTAGAATATAGGTTCTACGGATTATTAATATATCTACGCACCCGTAGAATATAGGTTCTACTCATTACTCTATATTCTACGATTTAATTGATTTGGTAGAGTACACGTTCTAATGTTTGTTCTATATTCTACCAATTTTCGGAATATATATTCTACCGTAACTACTATAATCCACCATTCGTAGAATTCATCTTCCAGTTTTTTCCTTTTGTCTACGGGTGGTAGAATATATATTCTGCGAAAATATCCTAAAATCTAGGAAATATGGTTAGTGAATATTCACCATATCTTTCCAAATATTTTCTAAAAAAATAAAAAAAACTG